AGGAGTCTAGGGCCAGAATCTCGGATGGCCGAGATCGAGTTGGAAGATATGAGAAGTACACACCGCTGAATGCGCCACACTCTCAAATTTGGAGGGAAGTGGCGATGACGGAAATGAAGAAGGTAGAAAGACCCCGACCCATATTCGACAGAGGAGATTTGGACAAATCCAAATACGGTGCATTCCATAACGGACCTGGTCATACTACTGACCAATGCTGGGATCTCCGAGATGCTGTGAAGAAATTTGTTAGAGATGAAAGATTACGCCAATACGTGATCAAAACCCAGGGTTCCAAAAATAACAAAAGGAAGTCGGGAAAACGAAATAGAAGTAAAAGTCTGGTTCCTGCAAAGAAAAACAAGGAGGAAAGGAATCAGAAAAACGATTCCAACCATGATGAGTTCCCGGAAGTAGAATTTGACTGCAATGTAATTAGTGGAGCCCTGGGATGAGGAGGAGACACTGTAAGTGCCAGAAGAAAGTATTTGAAAGATGTACTCTCCATTCAGGACCGTCCTAAATTCAAGGAAGACCTGAGCAAACCAGACCCTCCCCTTTTGTATTTCACAAAAGAGGACATGCATGGTGTGTTGCCGGGACATGTAGACGGGTTAGTCATTGCTGGAACCTTGGTAAATTGCCAGGTTAAGAAGATTTTCGTGGATGCAGGGAGTAGTGCCGACATCATACTCTGGGACGCTTTCAAAAAGATGAACCTGAATGAGGAGGACCTCAAACCTTGCAAAACGAATTTGATAGCTTTTAATGGAGAGCATACACCTTCTAAAGGCTACATAGACCTCAGGTTGACCTTGGGAACAAAAGAAGCATTCAAATCTGAACGGGTCAGATTCATAGTGGCTGATTTCCCGTCCGAATATAATATAATTCTAGGAAAACCAACCATACACCAGTGGGACATGCTGGTTTCTACAAGGCACCAGAAGATAAAAATGGTAAGCAGTAAGAATGAAATAATTACTGTTTGTGGAGATCAAAAGGAGTCCAGGGGATGCTATTTTGACACCGTCAAAGAAAATGAAGGCGGACATTGAAGTCCACCCCAGATTCATCCAGGGGATAGACTCGGCAAGAAGACAATACCTCCACACTCAAGGAAGTCGATCAATGTGGTTGAACTGTACATGAGAGAAGAAGTAATCCCAAGACCTGAACCTGACGGAGAATTAGATGTCCTTGCCTTAGGAAATGAACCTGGCCAATTTACCCGAATTGGTAAGACTATAGATCCTCGGATCAATCAAGAGCTAGCCGGGTTCCTCAAAAGTAACACAGATGTATTTGCTTGGAAATCATCAGAGATCCTAGGGATAGATCATTCCTTCTGCTGTCACAAGCTGGCAATTTACCCTGGATCCACACCGGTTTCTCAAAAGAAAAGGAAGTTGGGACCAGAAAGGAAACAAGTTCTGGAAGAACATGTGAAGGAATTGCTGGATGCAGGGTTCATTCGGGAAATACAGTATACAACATGGCTTGCGAACGTGGTGATGGTGAAAAAACCAAATGGCAATTCGAGAGTCTGTACTGACTATACGGACTTGAACAAGGTATGCCCAAAAGATTCCTACCCTATGCCCAACATAGACCAGCTGGTAGACAACTCGGCTGGATTTCAATTGCTGTCTTTCATGGATGCATATTCTGGTTACAACAATATTCCAATGTACCCGGGAGATCAAGAAAAAACCGTCTTTATTGCTGAAAAGGAAAACTACTACTACAATGTGATGTCGTTTGGGCTTGAAAACTTAGGGGCAACTTATCAAAGAATGATGAATAAAGTATTTGAAGATCAACTGGGAAAAAATGTAGAAATATACATTGACGATATGATAGTAAAGTCGTTTGATATGACAAATCATGTCCAAGATCTTGAGCAGATATTTCAGAAGCTCAGGAAGTATCGCATCCGTCTAAACCCGGTAAAATGTGCATTTGGAGTCTGATAACTCTCCCATATGAGAGTTAATTTGTTATTTTTATGATGAATTTGTTGCATAAATTCCATATAAGTTAGCCACTTTGCATGATATTTGAGTTAATTATTGTATATTTATGATTAAGTGCTTTGAGATGACTAAGTATGGAAAATAAGACAATATCCCTTGATTTTGCGTAAGAAAAGATGACTTGTTGAATGTTTGTCTTCGCAGGGAAAATTGACGTAGGAATTCTGTAGCAGAGAAGCTGACGAAGTAATGGTATAGCAAGCGCTACAGCATGACAGCGTGGACAAAAGGGACAACCTAACTTTTGAATTTCAAAAGTTAGTTATTCTTCAACAATACACCAGCAAGCAAAGGAAGTTTCTGGAGATTTAGTTCAGAAATCACAAGGGTCAAAATACAAATTCAAAGATTGAATCTTATCCAATCCCCAAAGAACAAGGACAACAACCTTGATTCGGTCAACAACATTAGCACAAGAAAACCAAGAAGATAAAGATCTTATCCAATTAAGTGCCAACAATTCCTAAAATCCCAAGGATCAAGGACGATTTCAAGGATGGAGTCTTATCCCAAAATCCCAAAGAACAATGACAACAAAACTCTTGTTCGGTCAACAACAATATTGGCACAAGATAATCAAGAAGATAAAGATCTTATCCAATCAAGTGTCAACAGCCCAAGAATTTAGGGATAAGATAAGGCTGCAGCAACCGGATTCAACAATCTCCACTCTTAACTCCTAAAGCCCAAAGCCCAACTATTTTTCCTATTTAAGAAGAGCTCCTCCACGAGAGAAACACAGTTCGAAACACAGTTAGAGAGGTTGAAGGTTCAGAAGGTCAGAAGCAAGGAGGAGAGTTTTAGAGGGAGATAGTGAGGTTCTTGGAAGAGGAAGAGTAGCGCTGAAGCAAGGCAGTGACGACGTCTTCCTACAGCAATTGTTTTCAACTTCTTTTTTGTTTTCCAATGAATTCTTTCTTTCTTTTCTCTATTTTATTAAATTCCATTATGAGCTAAATTGCTCCATAGGTTAGGTGATAAAGTACCTATGCTGTAACATTGAGATGTATGCCTAAACTTTGTTTATGTTAGTGTTTAATTAGTTATTCAACGAGTTTGCTTAAATCTTATTCATGTGTGCATGTCGAGAGATACATATGTGATATTGAGGAGGTTGGGGCCGAGAGGTTTCCAAATCCAGACCCTTGTTGAATTGTGTGGATTAATTAGGTTAATTTAACTTGATTAAGCTGTGGGTAGAGAGATCATTCACGCCACATAGCCTAGAACTTGAACTTGAATAAATTCAGTGATTAGTTTGGCTATAGAGATGTGGGAATTAGTTGTTGGGTGTATATGTAGGTCGGCCAAAAGCCCCAGCATACCTTAGTGTTCAGTTACTAGTTAAACATTGATATAGCATTGTTAAAGCATCGTTTCAGTATTGCTGTATCAGGAAAATTGATCCTGACCTATATCTCATCCATCATCTTAATACCTATTATTTTAGTTTCTTATTATTAGTTGTCTTTTATTTTACAAAACCAACAATCATAATCAATCACTTTACTCACTTGCTTCACCTAAATAATCATTACTTGACACTTATCTCCGTGGGAACGATACTTGGACTCACACATACCTTTATTACTTGTGACACGTGCACTTGCGTATTTGTGTGGAAGATTTAAAATTAATTACAAATTGCACAACAAGTTTTTGGCGCCGTTACCGGGGATAAGTACAAAGTTATTTTTATTCCGGTAGAGAATTTTATTTCTTTTACATCCTTTACCTTTTCCCTTACTGTTTTCAAGGTGTTAATTGCAGCATATGAGCAGTTCTTCATCAGAGCAAGAAGCAGATTTTGATCCTGAGAATGAAAGAACGTTTCGAGCAAGAAGGAGACAACAAAGACGTATCAATCCTACAGCAACACCTAACATGGACGCAAGATTGGGAAACGGTGAAGAGGAAGGACCTGGACAAAACAATGGAGGTCCAAATCAGGCTGAGATTCCAATCAGAGCACATGCAATTCCTACGCTCAACAATCTGCATTCTGGAATCGTTCAACCTGATGTAGCAGCATAGAATTTTGAGCTGAAGCCAGTGATGCTTCACATGCTACAGACCATTGGTCAATTCAATGGACTGCCTAGTGAAGATCCTCACCTTCACCTCCAAAATTTTATTGATGTAGCAGACACTTTCAAACTAAGAGGAGTTACATCTGATGCGCTAAAGATGAAGCTGTTCCCATATTCCCTCACCAACAAAGCTAAAGCATGGTTGAATTCTTTACAACCACAGTCAATCCGAAGTTGGGAGGAGTTGGCGGACAAGTTTTTATTGAAGTTCTTCCCTCCTATGAAGGCAGCACAATACAGGAATGATATATCAACCTTCAAGCAATTTCAAGACGAATCATTTTACGAAGCTTGGGAGAAATTCAAAGATCTGTTAAGGAAGTGTCCAAATCATGGAATTCCCGAATGGATTCAAATGGAGACATTCTATAATGGGCTTAATGGACCAACAAAAGGCATGGTTGATGCATCATCTGGAGGAGCCCTATTAGAAAAAACATATACACAAGCATATGCAATATTGGAGAGGATGGCAGTCAACAACTACCAGTGGCCCCTAGAAAGATCAAGTTTAATACAAAAAAAGCTGCTGGAGTTTGGGAACTGGATGTTGTATCAGCACTGTCAGCACATATTTCAGCTCTTAACAACTCTATCAAGACGATGAGTCTGTCTGCTGAAGCTAAACCAGTCAATGCCCTCACTGATGTTATATCATGTGTTATATCCAGTGGGCAAGTTGAAGTGTCCAATAGAGAAATCAAAAGGATCTTGGAGAAGGTGGTAAATCCTTCAAGGAAGGACTGATCATTCAGATTGGATGACTCATTATGGGCATATAGGACCGCCTATAAAACAGCATTAGGTGCATCCCCATACAGAATTGTCTATGCCTCACCTACCGGTTATGTTAGAACATAAGGCATACTGGGCTATGTCAAAGCTGAATTTGGATGAACAAGCAGCTGGACAGAAAAGAATGCTACAGCTAAATGAACTGGAAGAATTCAGAATGAATGCATATGAAAATGCCAAACTTTACAAGGAAAATATGAAGAAATGGCATGATAATAAGATCCTTCCAAGAGTATTTGAGCAAGGTCAGCAAGTCCTTCTATTTAACTCAAGGCTCAAGCTCTTTCCAGGCAAGCTTAAATCAATATGGACAGGACCTTTTAAGGTTTCACATGTGTATCCCCATGGAGCTATTGAAATTACGAATGAAAAAGATGGGAGCACGTTTAAGGTTAATGGACAAAGGCTGAAGCACTATTGGGGAGATCAAATTGCAAAGGAGACAACTATTATCTCCTTGACTGAGCCGAGTTGAGTCCAAAGAGAAGAAGTCAGGCTGAAGACTATAACACAAGCGCTCTTGGGAGGCAGCCCAAAATTTAATTAGGAAGTTCTTAATTTAAATGAATTTTAATTTCAGTATTTTAAATTATTGCAATTTCATACTTTCAATTATTAGAATTAGGATAAATTAGCTTCATGTTCTTTTAATTTTTAATTTTATTTTTAAGATGTTTTGCAGGGAGAAAAATGGTGTTGATGTTCATTAAAAATAAAAACCAGGAACCAGGCTACGGCACAAGGTTGTGGAAAAATCAGGCAAACCCATAGCACTTGGGTTGGAATAAAGAATTGGGCCAAGCAAGCTTTGGGCCCAATTCAGACGTAGCAATTAAAATCAAGGAGATGTAAAGCAAGCCCAACGGTAATATAATCAGAAGCTGCCACATCACCCCTGATGTTGTAACAATGCAACGGTTAAAAATTCAAGACAGGGATGAAACGACACAGCTGTCAGAATCCTGATGCAGCACCGTCCAAATTCATCCATCCATAAACAGTGAACCGATGTGACCCCTTGTGAATTTTCAACCCAATATAAAAGCCAGGTCCCATATTTTCTACCTTCATTATCGTGTGTTCAATTTTCTGAGTAAAAATTTCTCTTTTCCAACTTCATCTCCAAGAACATTCTTGCAAGAACTCAAGCCACAGCAAGGGCTTGAGTTTGGAGTCCCCCAATCTTTTCTTTCTTTCTTTCACCCGAGGCAACCAAACTGAGTTTGGAGTGGAGCAATGGAGACCCCAAGCACCCAAAGTGGAAAAATTAGGGCAAGACCCAGTGGGAGCAGCTCTCAATCAGAACCGGTCCCCTTTTTCTCCACCGAGCGAGCAATACAAAGGCATGAGATCATGCTCAAGCGGACACCATCACGAGACAAGGGATTTGTCAAGGAATCTCTTGACTCTAATTCATACCCTTCCTATATTTCGGTCATCATCGAGGCTCACCAGTGGAAGACTTTTTGTCTACATGAGCAATATGGTGTACTCCTCATCGTCCGCGAGTTCTATGCCAACATGCCCCAAGGAAGACCTTCGAAGGTGGAAGTGAGAGGGAAGGCTGTACCATTCAGTGCTGCAACCATCAAAAAGATTTATAATCTGCCCAAGGTTGTAGATGAGTTTTATGATTTGAAGAATACATCCGAACAAGAAAAGTTACAAGAAGTGCTGGAAGAATGCTGTAGGACAGGGACCGAGTGGACCGTGACACCCCAACAGCATATGTCCTTTTGAAGAACCACACTCAAGCCCGAAGCTAGAGTGTGGTATCATTTTCTGAAAAATAGACTGATGCCCACGTCTCACACTGAGACGGTATCAAAGGATAGAGCAGTCCTGCTCTGTTGTCTGTTGGATGGAAGACCTGTTGACGTAGGCCTAATTATTCATTCTGAAATCTTGGCCTGTGCCAAAGCTGATAGTGGTTATTTATGGTTTCCAGGTTTAATAACTCGTTTATGCAGGGAAGCCAAAGTGCCAATTGGAGAGGAAGAGGAGAAAATCAAAATGAATGGAGAAATTTCCCCTGCTGCTGCAAAGAGAATATCAAAGAAGGCCGATGAGTTAGCACAAAGCAGTGCTACTGCAACTCCCCAGAAAAATGATGATACAGCACCACCTGCTGAAGGTGCTGAAATTTGGGAAAAGATTAATGAGAGGCTGAAGAAAATAGAGAAAGACCAACTGGACACAAGAGATCTTGTGATGAACAAATTGAAAGAAATGGACAGTTTCATCTTAGGCCAGTTGGGATTCCTCAATGATGCACCTCAAGCCTCTTATGCAGAAATGCCGATGCAGCAAGCAAGTGTTAATGAAGAAGAAGAAGAAGAAGAAATGGAAGAGGAGGTTGAGCAAAAAGACGAAAACATGGAAGACAACCCCTCAAACCAAGAAGAGCAAGATGAAGACTAGATCATAACTTGCAATAGTTTTGATTTAAAAGAAAAAAAAATATCTAGGTTGTATTGCTCCTTTTTAATTTCTTTTTGTAACCCCCCCGCATAACTTAGAGAATTAATGAAAAAGAGGAACATGTTATGCTAGTTAGTTAGATTTTAATTTCGGTAAATTTAAATTCCAGTTTTGTTTGAATAAAGAAGTTAGGTATATGTTACAGCATGAAAATAAGGAAAAGAGTTGGAGAAAACTCCTCAGTAAGGAGTAACAAGAAGTTAGAAATTAATGCTGCATCAACAAGGTGAAACAGATTGCATCCTTAGCTATGTTGTTATGATCCCTTTTTGCTGTAGCAGGATGGCAGTAGTTACGAATGAGTGAGAGTAATTGTTTTTCAACTTGAACTTGCAAAGCAATGAAGGCGTGAATTGGAGGCTGACATGATCAAAGCAGAAAGGAACTGGAGTCATTGAACATGCAAGTACAAAGAATGAACTTGAAAGCAAAAGAAGCCGAAAGAGTTGATTGCAGATGAGGACTTAGGATCCAAGTTTGATGGATTTGAATCTTGCCATATGAGTAAGCCTTGAAGGCTATAAGGGTGAAAGAAGCCGAGCTAAAGGAAGTACAAAAGCACAAGTGAAAAAGAAAGCCCCTCACAAATAGAAAAATCAAAGTCAAAAAGACAAAAATAGAATAAGTGCCAATGCACATGAGCAAAGCTCACAAAATAAAAAGAGGGAGTCAAAGTCAAAAGAAAAGCAAGCAAGCTGGACACTCGTTCCTTCAATTCTTTACACATGGGTCTTGATTCAAGTTTGGCAAAGTATGGATACAACAACTAAGTCTTATGATTCTTAGTTTGATACTCTCAAGTGGATCAAGCCAACAAGAAAGTTCTTCACACACACGTACTCAATACTACAGAAGCAAGAAGCCAAGAGAAGAAAAGCTAACAAAGATCCCAAAGTTGAAGTGTAAGCCAAGGTTGAAAGACAACTCTCACGTGTACATTGATGTTTGAATGCTACATCAGAACTGCTCATCTCAGTAATAGTCATTGCTGCAATTATACCGCCAAATTTATGCAGATCAATCAATCAATTTCTTCTTTGTTACTCGGGGACGAGCAACGTTTTGAGTTTGGAGTGTGATAACTCTCCCATATGAGAGTTAATTTGTTGTTTTTATGATGAATTTGTTGCATAAATTCCATATAAGTTAGCCACTTTGCATGATATTTGAGTTAATTATTGTATATTTATGATTAAGTGCTTTGAGATGACTAAGTATGGAAAATAAGACAATATCCCTTGATTTTGCGTAAGAAAAGATGACTTGTTGAATGTTTGTCTTCGCAGGGAAAATTGTCGTAGGAATGCTGTAGCAGAGAAGCTGACGAAGTAATGGTATAGCAAGCGCTACAGCATAACAGCGTGGACAAAAGGGACAACCTAACTTTTGAATTTCAAAAGTTAGTTATTCTTCAACAATACACCAGCAAGCAAAGGAAGTTTCTGGAGATTTAGTTCAGAAATCACAAGGGTCAAAATACAAATTCAAAGATTGAATCTTATCCAATCCCCAAAGAACAAGGACAACAACCTTGATTCGGTCAACAACATTAGCACAAGAAAACCAAGAAGATAAAGATCTTATCCAATTAAGTGCCAACAATTCCTAAAATCCCAAGGATCAAGGACGATTTCAAGGATGGAGTCTTATCCCAAAATCCCAAAGAACAATGACAACAAAACTCTTGTTCGGTCAACAACAATATTGGCACAAGATAATCAAGAAGATAAAGATCTTATCCAATCAAGTGTCAACAGCCCAAGAATTTAGGGATAAGATAAGGCTGCAGCAACCGAATTCAACAATCTCCACTCTTAACTCCTAAAGCCCAAAGCCCAACTATTTTTCCTATTTAAGAAGAGCTCCTCCACGAGAGAAACACAGTTCAAAACACAGTTAGAGAGGTTGAAGGTTCAGAAGGTCAGAATCAAGGAGGAGAGTTTTAGAGGGAGATAGTGAGGTTCTTGGAAGAGGAAGAGCAGCGCTGGAGCAGCGCTGAAGCAAGGCAGTGACGACGTCTTCCTACAGCAATTGTTTTCAACTTCTTTTTTGTTTTCCAATGAATTCTTTCTTTCTTTTCTCTGTTTTATTAAATTCCATTATGAGCTAAATTGCTCCATAGGTTAGGTGATAAAGTACCTATGCTGTAACATTGAGATGTATGCCTAAACTTTTTTTATGTTAATGTTTAATTAGTTATTCAACGAGTTTTCTTAAATCTTATTCATGTGTGCATGTCGAGAGATACATATGTGATATTGAGGAGGTTGGGGCCGAGAGGTTTCCAAATCCAGACCCTTGTTGAATTGTGTGGATTAATTAGGTTAATTTAACTTGATTAAGTTGTGGGTAGAGAGATCATTCACGCCACATAGCCTAGAACTTGAACTTGAATAAATTCAGTGATTAGTTTGGCCATAGAGATGTGGGAATTAGTTGTTGGGTGTATATGTAGGTCGGCCAAAAGCCCCAGCATACCTTAGTGTTCAGTTACTAGTTAAACATTGATATAGCATTGTTAAAGCATCGTTTCAGTATTGCTGTATCAGGAAAATTGATCCTGACCTATATCTCATCCATCATCTTAATACCTATTATTTTAGTTTCTTATTATTAGTTGTCTTTTATTTTACAAAACCAACAATCATAATCAATCACTTTACTCACTTTTTTCACCTAAATAATCATTACTTGACACTTATCTCTGTGGGAACGATACTCGGACTCACACATCCCTTTATTACTTGTGACACGTGCACTTGCGTATTTGTGTGGAAGATTTAAAATTAATTACAAATTGCACAACAGAGTCCCAGCTGGGAAGTTTTTGTGTTTCATGTTAACTCATAGAGGAATTGAAGCAAACCCTGACTAGTGCATGTCGATACTTGACATGAAGGTGCCACAAAATAAGAAGGAGGTTCAGCAGTTAACCGGTCGATTAGCCGCTTTAACCCGGTTCTTACCAAAGTCTGCTGAGAATGCTCTCCCGTT